CCCCACCCCCGTCCAGCTTTTCTCTCCTTCCATCACAGTCGACTTATTTCACTTTCTAAATGATTTTTTACTCCTTCAATCTCTTTTCAGCTATTCAGGCCCAGGCACGGGTTTGTGGCCGGTGCTACACATTGTGACAGGTGAAATGAAAGCCAAGAGAAATCTCATCTTCTTATAAACGCTCCGAGGCATTCAGTCAGTCAAAAAAAATTCTTTTTTTTTCCTTCCACCATCTTTCTTAGGCACTGACAGATGGAAGAAAAAAAATGTGAGCTTTTTTTATGAAGACCATTTGGGATTTTCTTTTATCCACAGTTAATCAATGCTGTTCTATTTTATATTTACAGAGCCAYGCCATATGCAGCATTACTTTTGAGAAAAAGAACTACAACCTAAATTGCACTATTTTTTTATTGTTCTCTAGTTAAATATCTAAAAAAAATAAAGGTCAACTTTACATCATGTAAAGCGTTTWCCACAGTCATTAAAGACTGCTATACAAATACTACTAAATGTTTTGGTTACCATATAGTGTTATTTCAAAGCACTTCAGTGTTATTGCTTTGATTCATCTCCTCCCCTTTTTTATTTTACTCAAGTCAGAAGTTTGATGTGAAATAAAAGGTATAGCAGCAGACAACATCACCATCAGGCATTGCTGATTGAAACCTCAAGGTCATACGCAGATGAACAGAGAGCCAGAGAGTGAAAAACAGAAGAAGTAGGGGCAGCCAGAACGGTTTCGGCTCTCCGGGGTCTAGCTGTGTAGCTCACTCACTGAGCTATTTTGTGCGTGTGAATGTGTGAGTGAGAAGCTTTTTAAGGCCTCTCCCTGTGGGCGGATTCTGCAAAGTCACCTCGTTCTCTGCATCTCGTCAATCTCTTTCTGTATCGCTGCTTGGCGCTCCACACTCCTGTTGTCTGCCTTTTTGTTCCTAAGTGCAGCTCCTCGAACTGTGACATGCCCTTTCCGTCTCCAGACACCATACACCACTCTCTTTGATACTCTCCATTCCAACTCTTCACCTCAATCACCATCCCCACTCATACATGTTCACCTTTACCAAACATGACCAACTCGCCCGAGCCGCACCGCTTTTCTGCTCTGTTCCTATTCAATCAAAAACACACTGAAGAAATGTCACCTCTTTCTGATCTCTACATGTTATTTCCCACTAAAAACGTCTTAATCTTTGCAGCGACTTTGCAAATCTCTATTTCTACCGGCTATATTTCCCTCGCTCAATTCATAACCTTCATACATGTTTTTTTAATCCATTCACCTGACCTCAACTTTCACTCTTTGCTCACGCTGCTCTTTTCAACAATATCCTTCACACAGCACTTGTCCAATTTATTTCTCTTTGCCATATTTGCCCCCCTTTCACTTTTCTGTCAATCCCTTTCCCTCCCTTTGACACATTCTTCTCTTTTCCCCTTATCTTCATCTTACTCTCTATCCAGGCTTCCCAGTTCCAGCTATTAGGTGGTCCACTCTTTAACCCCACGCTCCGTACCGCAGTACAACCCCCCCACCCACCCACCCTCCTCACCTTGTAATTCTCCACTTTTGCTGTAGAGCTCTCGCCTCTGCTCTCTGAGGTAGGCACTCATGCTGATGGCGTGCGAAGATGACTCAAACCTACAGGACACACAAAAGCGTGCAATAATGAAAAACACAACAAGATGCACTATCATGAAATTACAGGGTAGATTTGTTGCACCTACTTGTTGCACACTGTATATATTAAATGTGGCCTGGCACAAATATGAAAACTGAAACTGCGGGAGATATTTTATTAGGACGGAGGAGAAAAAAAACACATGACATGAAACTCCTATACATATGAGATACAAGGTGATATGGTATAATATAATATGAAATACTTTAATGTCCGCTTTGGAAAATTTGTTTGGGACTCTGATCTAGTAGCTGCCTTCACAAAAACATTCACAAACGTAAACACAATCCCACCATAAGGCATATGGCACAAATATAGTTTTAAAATAAACAAATATGAAAAAAATATTTTGAAAAGAGTGAGACAGTATTGCACGATTCTTACTACAGTACCAAGACACATAAACAACTCGATCTAGAAGACACGGTTTAAAATTTTGATTACTATGAAAACAAATGAGCTTTACATAGTTGCACTGATACATGCAGTGGCAGTTTTAGGGGTGAGACCACAGGGGGCCCTCTACCCTGTCCTGTCACTCATTTGTGACAGAACTAGTCTAGCCTGGCCCTTGCTTTCCTGCACAGTTTCGGTCAAATCTAGTTTCCCTTCTCAGTTCTGTCTGGGACTTCTCCCATAGACAAGGATTTCTCCAGTAGAATTTTAACCGGGCCAATGAGCAAACAGAAGGAGGAGTCGTGAACAATGATGTCAATTTTCTGCACCGTTTTTTTAATAAACACCATAGTGTGTCACAATGTTGATTTAATATAATGTTTTGGTTTTTTCCTCATCTTCTCTTGTGTGGTTTTTAGTTTTTCTGTTGTTAAAGGTAGCAAATCTGTGTTTGCTGCATGACTGGTTTCACCTGTTCCCCCATGTTTGCCTTGTATGTCTTCTTGAATGGGTGTTTCTTAACTGCCCCCTCCCCCCATTCCCTGAATATACAGCACCTTGTGAATTTATTTCTGTAAAAGGCACAATATAAATAAAACTTTATTTACTTACTTACTTTTGTCTGCCTGTAGTTTAGCAATGGCAGTGGAGGAAGTGAATGAAGCCAGTCTGYGTTGACAAGGCTTCCAAATTAAATTAAATTTGACTCATAAAGCCTGCAGCACTCATTTACAGCCATCTCGTTCAGCTCAGTACTTCTCTCTTCCCAGTAGTGCATGGTTATTTACAGGGCACACAATTTCCAGTTAGCTTCTTAGCTTAGGCTTCTTCATGGTCGAGCTGGCGCACTACAAACGTCACAGCCAAACGTTAGCGATTGGGTAAATTAGATCCAGTCGTTTTAAACTTCAACAGGGTCCACAACTCCAGCAAGAAATCGCTTCTCAATAGCCGAGAGTCCAGACCCTCATACGAAGCAAAGAGAAGAACAAGGGGCTGGTTTWTAACAGGCTAGAATCAACTCTACAGAAGTCTTTTTCTCTTGTTAAGAAGATGTGAACAACCCTGCAGAAATAGTCTTTCAACTGACAAATGGTGGCTGGATTTTCTCACATGCTGCACGTTTGAGAGTATTTATCTATGTTTGGTAAATGCATGAAAAATTGGTAAGGAGAAAACTTTGCAAGATTTTTTTTAAATAACATTAAAAGCATTTGAACATGTGTGACTGGTTAAACGTGTACTCTTTACCAAAACSGGGGATTTGTGTACTAGGATGAACAAATATCCCTCTATGAATATTGTGACTCTGCCAATGAATACAAACACATTTAATTACGTTTCTTTGATCAGTACTAATTACATGACRCACTTTACATTTTACTAGTATGTAAATAGTCAGAAAAAACACTTCATTTTAATAAAACAACCCCCTAATTAGACTCATTCCTGGTTCCCTAAGGTCCTTGGACACAAATGTTCATAAAGGGCCATGACTTAATAAACATTATAAGCCATTCTCCCTGTGGTATCTTTCATCATTTTCTGTCATGCTCCTTCTGCTGCTAATACAAAAAGAAAAAAAAAAAAAGAAAAACTTGACACTAATCTTAAGGTATATGTTAAGACAGCTGGTCTTAGTGCCAGAGACTGTATTTCAACTGAAATTAAGATGCACACCTAATTAGAATTTACCATCACCCTGTTGAAATGTTAATTGTTACTGCAAAATAGCTTCTTACAATACAGATATTGCAACGCCTTGTAAGTGGAGCAAAGTGAATAGATTAACAAAAAAACATCTCATGTAGGGAATGACAATTTATTAATAATAAATGAATKATTGTGCCTCTACAAGCCAGTTTTCTTTGTTCAAAACATATTTTACAGGCTGTACATAACAGCATTTTCTCTTTTTTCCTCTCTCTTTTGGGGAGCAACATGAACAATAATGAAAAAAGAATGTGATTCTTACTTGAAGAGTGACTGCTTGGCACGCTGTGGTCTTTTCTTTGCAAAGAAGGCAGCAAACTCACTGCCTGTGCTGGCATAGGAGAGCTGCGCCGATGGCTCTGTGGCACTGCGGCTGTTCTTCACATCCAGATACTCCATCAGCAGAACCTTAACACAACARTGAGCACTTTGTCAAAAACTACAAAGAACTTTTTTTCCCTTTATTGTTTGGTGGGAAAATGTCCTTCAACCAGGTGAAGTGAGCTTTTATTTTTCTACATACAGTAGTTGCTAAATGTAACCCAAATGAATGCTGCAGTTTTCTTCAACTGAGTTGAGCTGAAATAAAACAAACTTTTTTTTTTCWTTTTAAAGAAAACAAACCTGGGCGCTTTTTTGTTTTTGTTTTTCTAAAAGAATTTGAATTAATTGTGAATGGTTAAAATGAGTCATTCTCAGACAGAAACAAAAAAAAATCAAAAACATCTTTTGGGTTAAACAATCACAATGCAGCATATTTAACAACAAAGCAAAAAGCAAAGTAAATCTAAAATATTCTACTAAGATTTTATTATTATATCAGGTCAAGTTCGTACATCTCAACCTTATCATGTATAACAGATCCGAAGAAATGTACAGACCCCAAAACAGAAAGAAGCTACGGATGTGACACAGTACTTTGGATGATGACCATGKTTTTTTGTTTTTTTGTCTTCCAGTTCCCTGATCTATCAGCATGATGCATGCTGAAATCCATCAATGTCTGATCKTGCTTCATAAAAATCTTATCAACTTCTAACAATAGTCTGGAATAAGCACATTGGAACTCTGGCCAGACAGAGAASGTTCACTTCCTCTATCAGTCTATCTGTGCGTTCCCTCTGATTCTTTCATTTGCTCTCATTTTTCAAAGTCTCTTTAGACTTCATTTCTCATTTCTCAYGTTTCTATTTTTTCCACTCTACCCCAGTTTGATACTTCCCGCTCTCTCCCACCCTTCATCCCTCTCTCTCTCTGTGAATGCATATGTTCCAAAATAGCTTCCCATATCTAATAGCTTCATAATTTATCAGGGCCATTTAGCCTGTGTGTGTCTAATTCTGAAGCGCTGTGTGGGTCAGCCCAGAACGGGACAGGAGTAATGGCTGAGCAGATGGAGATCCATCCCAGCCATAATGATGTAATTAACGCTGTGGAGAACAACCCCTGTCACGCATGGGAAAGCCTTCACATGCTAGYAATGGTATAAAAACCCAAGTTCAGACATAAGTGTGCAAAAAAAGGTGGGATCAAAGTTGGATATAATAAGTTAAGAAAGTCTAGGCAATTGAATTCAAACACGATATATTACATTCAAACTCGCCCTCAGAATCAATAAACAAGTTTGATGCCTGGTGAACTGAGAACTCTTGAACTGGCAACAACAGAGTGACCCCTTGCCACCAGCCTCACGCTGCAGCTAATCCTATCGGTGTATGAATTACTAATGATGAGTTGATAGCACAACCTGCTTGCAAGCTAACGCCCAAGCAGACCTAATGGAATGCCAGCTCTGGGCTGATGAAGGGGCTCCGACCCTTCCTAAACTGTATTAGCCCAGAGACAGTGTGAACTTTGGAGGCAATTAACTGGACTGCACGGAGAAAAAGAGGGATGAGAAGCAGAACTGAAGAAGTGAGGGAAAGAAGAGATAAGAGTGGAGAAGAGGAACTTTAGAGGATGGAATAAGCAAAGCATTATAAGTAGATGTTGGAAAATAAACAACAAAGCTAATAARGACATGGATGATAAAACAGGGAAGAGAAAAGAAAGTCTCGGTTCAAAACACTAATTTAGAAAACTACTCGGTATTGAAAAATTTTTGGAACATTTAGTTTTGAAAAAACAATTTTCCCACCTTGACTAGAAATGCATGATTGTTCTGGTACAAAGACAGACCTTTAAATACCATTTTGATTACCCCTCCTGCAAAAGCAGAAAAGCATTTTACAAACCCAAAACATCGCCCCAAAATGTTCAGTATTTACTCATCAGATAAAGAACCCCAGCTAGAAAAGGTGCTCCACTAACAAAGTTATTTTGTTGCCAAGCCAATCAACTGCAAATTAGATTTTATTCATGCTTCAAGCCAGAGGGATGATCCTGATTCATTATGTTTCATTTTTGCTCTGCAGTGTGAAAACAAATTATCCAGAAAAAAACAAGACAACTCCAAAGAGAAAAGACCTAATTCAAAGAATTTCAGCATTTTATTGTAAAAACAAATATTTTGTTGAGTCAAAGTAATTTGTTATTTTCAAACAGGCTATTTTAATTTGCTACAAGCAGCTTTTTACACATTTGGCTGCCAATTTATTCAAGTAATGCAGGTAATTTAAYGACAACAGATTAAAACCCTGACAACTAATATAACAAAGAATGACATACTGCAAACTTATTCAGTCATTGTTCACATCTAGCATCCAATAAAACATTTTGGTCACAAGTTTCAACTCGTTAAATTTGAACACAGTAAAAATAATACTTAAAGTTAAAACCTGTAACACGCCTCACACAAATGGAAAATTAAAAGCAAAGAAAAATGAGGAACAATAAGTGAGTTAAGGAAATAAGGGCACACASAGGGATGAATAAAAAGCAGAATTCTGAAAGAGGGCAACAAAAGAGAAAATGCCAACATTAGAGATGCAAAAAAGGAAAAAAAAAATATTTTCACAGCCAGCTTTGCAATGATYGGTAGCATGATTGAGATTACCAAAACAAAACAGAAGCACCCTAAGCATCACWACAATGCACAGATAAACAAGAAAACAAACTCAATGGTCCACAGTATTAATTAGCTATTAGCCCCAGAGCTCAGTTTCAAATGGGCGCCTGTTCTCATTTAGTATAAAAACCCTGGAGCTTTGATAGGGTCTGACGCAAGTACGGCAGGTATTGGAGAACATAAAAATAGGGATTCATAGACATGACGCAACTATAATCTCAACACTCCTCTYAACACCCAGAGCACGAAGTGAAAACAGACTCCGGTCTCAGTCTTTCCACATTTCTCTTGTTCAACTTGCTAAGGCTGAAAACTGGACAAACAAAGATTACTTCTGACACCTGGCATTGTTTCTCTTTTAACCAGAGACAGATAMGTTTACACGTTTATGTTAATTAGCTTAGCGAACTTCCAAAGTGACTTMCACAAAAAAGGTCAATAGGAGTTGATTAAGAAGCAGCCGAGGAGRAGAGAAGCTGCTTGATTTCACAAAAAATAGGATTTGTGATGGAGCAGATAACGAAAACAGATAGTACGTAATTATTTGAGATGGGCAAAGTCTCTACAAAGGCTAAAAGCAAGTGCATACAAAACAACAAACAATCATTTCCAACAAACCATCCAACACAACTCATTCTGCACACAAATAACTCTGTTCGCATCGCAAACTTCAATCAGTCCACTGGTTGAGTGCAAAGTTAAATTAAAAAGGAGAGAAGCTTAAAGGAATATGGCTTTGTGATTCATTAGCAGCACCCCCCACCTATTCCTTCATCACTGAGACGTCCTCATGTTTCCATTTATGTTTGAAGGAAGAGTATACTCATTTTCTATTCTATCCATTAGAGTCTAAACAGCCACGGAATCAGTGCAATTAGGAGAGCATCACTCAAAGCCTTGCAGGTGAGCACTTGACATTGGGTAAACTCAGCAGTCAATTGGCTCGGATTAAAAGCATAAATATCACTTTATTTTCCTTTTTCTTGTCTCCATCCGTCCCGTCTTATAAAGTCATCCTGAAAGCAGCCGAGACAACAGCATCAACTTTCTTCCGTTCTCAGTGCTTCATTGAAATCGGCTGTTTTCCCACTAAATCCCTTGGCAAGCGTCTTGTCACAAAACATATTGACTGGCATCCCTTGCTGTTAGCTTGAAGTTTAAAGCCCAAAGTGTCCTTGGCCGTCAAAGAGAGGGTTCTCTATACATCCTGTATTGATTGTGCTCCAGAAACTTCAATAACCTTCATGAGTTCTGACAGAGCCTCGGCCGCAGCCACTTTCCCAGCGCCGAACTCCTGCTAAGCAGCGGGGGTTCCCACCTGGAGCTGGCTGCCYGCAGTCAATCTTTTGAAGGCTATCTTGTTGACCGAGGGAAGGAAGAGGAAGATGTGCCTGCKTGCTCACTGAAAACCACTGTCCTTGCTGTGCCCCCAGCATGTTTCGTCATGTAAAAACAATCATACAACTGTGTATTGTTCCACAAAAGGAATTCGGATATTGTTGCGTWAATATTTTCGGATTTGATGAAGTCTGCAGTGAATGTATAAAAAYTAGCTGCAAGGAAGGGTGGGAGCTGAAAGGAGACTTTAAAACAGCACAAACAYGGCAGACTTCACTGCACTCCAGCTATATGTAAATACGACGGTGCTTTAGAAGGCAGAATAAACGTGACACATTGATTAAAACGTTGGGCAAGAACAACGTAGCAATGTCTGTACTTCATATCTAATTAAAAGAGGCTTATTGTCTTCTGGCTTCTCTTTGGCACTTTAATTTGCTTCGTTCGCGATCTGTTGATGAGCCCAGAAAATACAGAAGCCTCTTGTATATTTATATATTGTTGACACAAACACGGCATAGCCTTTTGTGTTGCTTATTCTAAGTCAATAAAGCGATTCATTTATGAAAGAGATTTAGATTAAACCAGAAGCTCTTCTCTGATCAAGACAGCCTGTTAAGAAAATAAAAATGTACCGGTAATCACAAGAAGAATGTGCTGAAAGTGTAAGGACTAAACGAAAGCTCCGATATCGCATATAAACAATCTTAAAGAAGTTTTTGTTTTACAGTTCTTCTTGTTTTAAGGTTACAAAAATATGCATCTTTTTTGGCAATATTCTTATCTTATACAAGATGAAATGTTACTAAACTAATTAACTCTGTAATCCAAGAATCGCTTCTTTCAAAAGCTAAATAATCAGCATCTATCTTTATTTTTTCAAATGCATTTTCAAAGTTCCTTCATGTGGAAATACAGAGCAACTCATTAAAAGTACGATTTGCACTCAGGTCACATACTCCAAGCAGACAATATACGTGGCTGGCAGTCAAATAGCCACAAATCCTTGTAGAATGCGCAAATGGCAAGCTAATTAGTAAACTTTCAGGCCTAGGACCAAACTAGAGACAAGGTGAAAAGGTGATGGATGTGAGCAGCCACAGACACCACATGCCAAATATAGACTATAAAACTCCTAATGGGTGATCTTAATTATGAGTGTGTGGAGAGGTTTATGAACTGTGTTATACAGATATCTGGTAATKTGTGACTTCTAACATAAATTGAAAGCAGTTATTTGTTTCCCAATAATATTAAGATTAAATGATAGTGTGATATGTTGTCTTAATTGAATGGTTGCATACAACATTTCTGAGGGAAATTTTTTTAATAAAACATCTCAGCAAGTGTGATTTCTGGGAAAAAAAAGAAAAGAAAAGTGCTCAGAGCGAGAAGAAATATGCAGTCATGGATAAACAGAGTTGTACGGAGGTGTGGTGTTGCAAGCTTGGATATGTAAATCCACTGTTGGTGTAAATAATCAATAGGAATACACATATTCAACAGAGAGCGACTTGAAAAATTGTGATGTGGCTTAAAAGCCCTCCTTCCCACATCAATACCTCTGATTACCATCCCAGTATTTTATGCTTTGAATCGATACTTCCACGCTGAAATGGAAAAGCAGCAGAGAAGGTATCTTGAGCATTTCTGAACAGGGATTGAACTGTTACACAAATCCTGACTTTCAAAAGCTTGTTTACCCACTCCCCATTCTCAACCTAYGGGGGCCCTCGGTCGCACGTTGATGAAAGCAGTTTCTCTGCCAAGGCCGTGTAACTGGGCGCACCCTATGTTTCTGTCAGCTCTTGCATCTGTCTGCTGGTATGTCATGTGTAAAGGTCAAGCTGGTTTCTCCACTTTTCAAAGTGAGAGCGAGGAAGGGGGAAAAAAACACTCATCAAGAGGCTTCAATGGACGTCAAAGATGTGAACCGCAACATAAAGAATGAGCAATGCAGGGATTCATATAAAYGATCTCCAAATGTGGTGGGTGTACTCAGTTGGTGGTTAAAAAAAAAACATTTTTTTGTCTTTGTAATAAAAGTTTTGCAGTTAATATGCTCAACAAAAGGGGAAAAGAGTCAAACAAAAAGGAGTAAAGCATAAATACTATATTTAAGTCAGGTCAGTGCTAAGATTTAAGATAAGAACTGGCTCAGTATCCAATAAAATATGAGTTTCTATGGGAGCAGAAGGAATTTAATTTCTCTCATTGCAGATATGCGACTCTGTAAAACAGAGTGGGCTAAATGAAGCGGGGGGTGAAGAGGAATGTGGGAGTTGTGAGTGAGGGGGGTAGAAGCCAGATAATAAGATTAAGGAGGAAATTACAAGGACCAAGAGGGGTATGTGGAAGGTATCAGGAGATTCTGATACAGAGGCAGCAGAAATGATGCTGAAGGAGGAAAGAGCAAGGGGAAATGGAAACATAGAGTGGGCGAGAAAAGACAAATGAACAAGCAGGAGGGATGGGGAAAAGGAGGCAGGAATGAACGGATGAGGGTGGTGGGTGTGGTGGGGTGTTCATATCGATATAATCGGCCAGAAAATAACACAAATGACTGAGTAAGAAAACCACATTTCACGTAATGAGGATTCTAATCAAGAGATTATATTATCTCACATGACAGAGCTGAGGGAGAGTGAAGCCGCTGGCAAATGCAYGTTGGCAGTGGTCACATACTGGGGAATGGCTTTGTGCCATCTACAGCGCGCATACAACAGAGCAATCACAGTACATGCCTATGCATGACTAAACCCTCAAAATACACACTCGTAGTCTAAAACACAAGTGAGTTTGTGAATGTGCGGGTGCCAGCTGGAAAAAGCTCAAGTTATTGGAAGAAGCTCTTTCAGTTTAGCTGTGGAGCCACATTCTCTCCTTTTATTTTCCCTTTTTATGATCAGTAGAAACACAGTTCTATCACTTACCATGGCAACAATCAACACGTGCACCATGGCAACAATCAACACGTTGGCCTTCTTAAAAGCATGTTTCCTCCAGCATTTTAGTCAGCTAAAACAAATTTATAACATAGACTTTGTTGTATTTGAACACGTTATATAGATCTATAAAATTGAATGACACGTCAGGGAGGAGCTTTGTGTAAGTGGGCGGTGCTTTGTACCAGCAAGTGTTTAGGCAGCTCCACATGGCTACCACAGGAGATTTAAGGATTTCTCCAGCATGCTTGAATGAGTCAAAGCAACACTCAGGGTATGTTTTTGATGAGGGAATAAAATAAGATAATATAAAGCTCAAACACTTCCATTTTGCACAACACTCCCCTTTAAATAAAAAAATCCCCTGAACTTGCAGCAAAAGAGCATCATTGCGAAAACCATCGTTTTAGGTACGCGCACGCGCACACACACACACACACACACACACACACACACGGACACACACGGACACCGACGCACTCACCAATCACTATGAGAGCAACAGCTGTCACAGATTTTCCTCTGAGAGTCACCACAGGGTCAAATTAACAGCTGTTCATCTCCATCAGCCAATCAAACAGGGAGGGGTGGGATCAACTAYCATGCATAAATACACATCAATTAAAGATCCTCAAATTAATCCAAACAATCAAGCTTTCTTTGTTCTAGTACTTTATACAGTAAAGGAACTTTGTATTTTCTGATTAATCAARCCTCAGCTTAATGACGCATCATTTTGTCCTTTAGATAAAATGCAGAARTGGGTGACAAACTACCCTTCCTGCTTTTAGAGAAATTAAAAAGGTAAGTAGCAGCCAGGTGCTGCTAATCTAATGCACTTGATTAGATGATCATGAGTCAAAGAAGAAGTGTTCAGGTGTGCAACATAATGCCAAAAACCACGATGCTGCTTCATGGCAGTGATTTTAGATGTAGGTGTTCATCAATGTAATAGGGGTTATAAGGGCATTTCTCCGTTCTGAAGTAGAAGGATTATTCTCACAAGAAAATATCTAAAACTGCTGTCCTACCTTATAACACTCAGAGAACTGCAAAAAAACAAAAAAAAACAACAAAAAGCTAAATATCACACTGTAGAAACTACAGCATTTTAAATGTCAAAGTTCAAAGCAGTACAATTAGACAAAGACTGAATGGTTGCTCATTCTTAGATAGCACCAGGCTTAGATTTGCATTTGAACAAACTARAAGTCTCCTCCCTTATGGGAAAAAACCTGCATTACAGTAAGAATGCTTATAAAGCACACAGACGTCGTACTGCAATTTTTGTGCCTTTTCAACAACTTATAAGAAAGTTCAGCTCCTTCAGGACATTCTAGCTATGACTTTTGGCATTTAAGCAATTTATACTTTTTAGGATATTTAGCTTTTACTGTCATTTTTTTGTTAAAAAATTATTTAAAATGTTAATAAAATTTACTGAATTTAAAATTTTACTGAACCTTTCATCTTTTGTTCTGGTTTTGCTTTTATAATATTTGGTCAAATTTCAGTTTCAGTTTTTTTTTCTTTTGCTAATTTTTGCTCTTTTCAGCATTTTTCAGCTGTTTTCAAACTTTTTTCTGCTAATATCAGCTTTAATATACTTCTTTTTACTTCTTACTTAAAGCAAGATTTTTATGCTCCTTTCCCTCTTATTCTGCTGTTTTATTCTCTTCTGCCTTTTCAGTTACCCTTTAGCTGTTTTTTTTTTTTTTTTCAGTGTCATTCAGCTAAATTCATGTTTTGGTGGTCTTTATAGCTTTTTCCAGTTTAAATCAGCAAACATGCTCTTCAGTTTCTTCCTGCTAATTAAGATTTTTTTGGTACTTGTCAGCTTCTTTCAAATAATATTATTATAGTATTATATACTTAGAGATAGGGTGAGAAGCTCRGTCATCCGGGAGGGACTCAGAGTAGAGCCGCTGCTCCTCCACGTCGAGAGGAGCCAGTTGAGGTGGCTCGGGCATCTGGTAAGGATGCCTCCTGGACGCCTCCCTGGTGAGGTATTCCGGGCACGTCCCACCGGGAGGAGACCCTGAGGAAGACCCAGGACACGCTGGAGGGACTATGTCTCTCGGCTGGCCTGGGAACGCCTTGGAGTTCCCCCGGAGGAGCTGGAAGAAGTGGCTGGGGAGAAGGAGGTCTGGGCCTCCCTTCTGAAGCTGCTGCCCCCGCGACCCGACCCCGGATAGGCGGAAGAAAATGGATGGATGGATGGATGGATGGATGGATGAATGGATAGTATTATTTTATATTATATTATTACTTATTTTCAGCTAAATTCACCTTTTTACAATAATTTTAGCTTCGTTCAGCTTAATTCAGCAAACATGCTTTTTCAATGATGATATCAAGATCACAAAATAAAAGATGAATGTTAATTGGTCTGAATGTTTTACTTTTTGTCTAAATTGAAGCTTTAAACCCACCTTTTCAACTTATTATTATTATTATTATTATTTATTTATTTATTTAGATTTTTCTACCTGGATAATTGAGATGCAGGATATTCGTGCACAATTTGTCAGGACCTTATTTTCAAGAAAAAGTATTAAAATAAGATTTTTTTTAAATACTAATCAATTGAAATAATATGTTTAGGCGATTGTCAGACATCTCCAAAAATCTTTCAAACATTCTGAATTATGAAGGTGTCTTTCCTCAAAACTAACCTGCAGCACAGTTTGGATTTTAGCAGAAACATCCGCCTGCTCGTAGAGCTTGATGTCCTCTTCAGGGGTCCCACTCGAACCCTGCAGTTTGATCTGCTGCATGTGGGCCAACACGATGCTGTGAGCCTGGGCCACTGCCTTGAACTTATCAAACAAAAGCTCCAGCAGTTCCAGCAGCAGCCTGCAGAGGGAGCCAGAGAGAGCAGGAAAACAAAAAAGAGGGCGAAAGACAGAAATTGAAGGGGCAGAGAGCAGGAGAGTGGGAGTAAATGGGAGCAAAAAGAGTTGGTTGATGTTTAGATAAAATGACATAAATATAAAAACAGTAATTTAAATGTCACATTTACAAGCTGTACTTATTTAGTCATGCAATATTTGTAACATTATAACATGATTTTATACAGGAGCAAAGAAACAACCATTTGTTAGGAAAATGCATGAGCATAAATTGCTAAATCTTAGGAAAAATAAAATAAAATGCAGCGTGCAACATTTATTCTTAACTTTTGTTTTCCATTCCAGACAATGTCCATAAAAACTCAATAAGCTACACTGCCCTTCTACATTAGATTTAGATACTAAAGCAGCATAGTGYCTGATCTGCGCTTGCTTCTGCCTACTCTTAAGTCTGACATATTTGTTTCTATAAAGCGGGGGGGGGGAACAACTCAAAGATTTATTAATAGGAATGTTTTATTTTACCAATTAGGTTTTATAGTTCCCCGTTTTACTTTGCAGTTCCCTCTACTGCAGTCACTTCAATATTTCACCTGGGTTAATAACCCAGCACCTGGACTAGCTGTTAGAATGGGGGGTGGGGACTAAGCTGCCAAACATGGATTCAAATAAAAAGCCATTCTCATTAGTTCTAAATGGCTCTGGCAGAGGACGAGAGAACAACCAAAACCAAACGGACCTTCCACTTGATCTGAGTGCTCCACTCTGGATTGAAAACTCACAGTTGCTTCATCTAGTCTAATGCTTTCGCACAGATTTGCCACCACTGCTTTTTACACAAGGACAGACCTTTCAAAGTAAAGAGGGAACACGGATTTCATTAGGTGAACTTGATGAGAGTTACAATTTCAGATTGAAGAAGGTATTACAGTTACTTTACAAATAATGACACTGCTTGTTTAACACCACTCTCACCACTATACTAACTGGTGTCAAGTCTACTTACTGACTTGTAGTACATTTGCTGCCAATAGAAAATAAATTAAACAAAACATTCGAATACATTTCTTGGTGTTTGGACCTTCAACCAGAATCCTGGGAGTCAGAGTTCAGAACACTTATATTGGCTGTTCTGTGGAGTGCATTTGTCCTTACAAAGACCTCTATGGCTTTAAATGGAGTTCAGCTTGAAGAGGTTAACCTCAAAATGTTCCTTCTACCTCTGAGACCTTCTAGAAAGTTCACCWTTCACATCTGCTCTGGTTGTCTTTACTTACCCCTGTTGCCACTCAATTTTCAGATGCTCTTTTTTTCTTCTTTATGTTAATGTTAGCCTGATTGCTACTACTAATATACTGCCTCCACTGTTTATTTCTCTGTCATAAGCAGCTGCTGAAGCTTGCAGTCCTATAGCATCGTATATGTTGTTCTCAACCACTTTAAGTGGAATATTTSATTGGGAAATGGGGACTTCTAACCCACACTTGGGAAAGTACCACTATATACTCACCTTGCTATTTAGATATGCCTCTTAACATTAACACCCTGCATCTATTTGCTGTCTCAGGGGTATTTTTTACAGCTTGGTCTTGTTTTCGAAGGTGATTTTACTGAGTACATTTAGAAAGAGTTTTGGCACTTGTATGGGAGCCACAGACCCAAGTGAAGGGAATAAGTCAAATTGCTAGRGATGGTCTACTGTAGGTAAAATGAACATTTAGCCAGGATACATTTTTGATAGCTTCCAGTCACTACACTTACAGCTGTACCAAGAAAAAAATGATAATTAAACAAAAGGGAAGATTAAAGCACTGTGATCTGTAATTCTTAATGTAAAATGATTTGGATTAATGTATAAGTTAGTTTAAACTACACACATAAGCTATTAAGTATCAGAAAAGTACAAGCATTGTATAATTATCTATCTAACTGGAAAGGTTAAGACACACTAACAGACACCGCTAACACTTGCACCTACAGACAGACCAGGCTTCCTCATTATCTCCCAGCGGATGCCATCCTAATCCATATCTTCTGTTCTGAAACCTCACATCTCATTTCCCCCGCAGGATCGAAGCCGAAACAAACGGCTCATGAACAGTCAGGAGAAATAGCAGGGAGCGCACGGTTTTCTAACCGACTCGCCAGCAGTAGGAGAGTGCGTGGTTCATTTTCTGAAGGACAACAGCAGCCTCAAAATTAGATTACCATTAGGGCTGCTCGTCAGTCAAAGATCATTAAATTACTGTAAACAGGGGCGCAACGTGTGGAGCGAACGCTTTTGAATTGTGAAATGTGCCAGGTTGTGACACTGCCACACAAAAATACAGAGCAGGAACACATGCTTACAATATGCATTCTGCTGTTGCAAGTAATCCATCTTCTATGTTAAGAAAAAAATCTATTAGAATCATCAAAATAATCAAAAAATATTTCTAATATGTCATCCTAGTTTGCTTTTTTAAAGCCTTTCCTCACCACATATAGGCAGTCATTTGTCTTGGATTTGATATTTTCTATTAAAAAATAAGATTTCCGTTTCTGCAACGCAGCAGGAGCAAAAGAGCTATTCATTATCAGAGAAGCCTACTATTAACCTGGTAACCTGTATGGAGTATATTTGTGAGAATAGGATGCAGAGAAAGAAGCTGGATCACTAAGGAGGTGGCTGAGAACATAAACCTGTATGACCAGGCTACACACTGTTTAAGCTATAAAGAGTTTAAGTGTCGCCTGCTGGTCTGCAGTGCTATAAAATATAGTGTGCAATATTCAAGACCATTGTTCCCTACAAGTGGTACAGCCAATGGAGTTTCCATAGCAACAAGCATTGACTTTAAATTGAAGCGAACATAGAGAGAACAAGCGGCATACGCATCCAAACACAAACACACGCAAAAGTGTTAAGTGCTCGCACACGTACACATGCAGGGAAATTCAAAACAATCAGCGAGGAGTAGAACTGAAAATGAGCTACATGGTGGCCTATTACGCTGAGGTCAGATGAGATTCAGCAGGCGGACGGAGAAACAATGCAGACACGGCTTGGAGAAAACACCCCTGACAGAAAACAAGACATTCCTCTTAAATGGTTCAGGATCAGTGGACTGAGACCTGTGTTTCTCAGGACTGGGTGCTGCGTGTGCGCGTCTGCGGCAGCTAACGTGACCGCTTTGAAAATGCGGCAGTCTGATGCGGCAGGTGAGAAATTGCGTGTCTGCGGGTGTGTTTAACCGTGACGTGTCTTTGTTTAAAGCAGCGGAGGATCTGTTTTCATGGTCTGAGGCCCGTGTGTCTACACTAGCCTTTGCTGTGTTTCACATCTGTCTGACTATGAACACTGGGGGACTGATCAAAACATGTTGTCGTCTGCCTCTACAGTCGGCTGGTGATATATCTACAAAACCCCCAATGCAGTCAGCATATTAATATTGATACAATAATCAGCTCTAGTGTTTTGGTTATAATCTACAGGGAGAAACTCGTTTTCAGCCCTTACCAATCAATGAAATAAACGGCCACTTTTATTCACCAACACCGAGAAACTGAGCCTAATGGGAATACTATGAGTACAAAGGAATAGGCTAACGTGCATCTTAATAAAACTGATGGGAATACAAGTGGCAGCTTTATTAAGGTGTCTTTTAGAGAGAATACCAATAGCCTTGTACTTCTGTTTACTCTGATCATCTGTTTTTAATATTGTAAGAGCTACTCATTATTCCTATCAGGATACCATTATAATTTTCTCATATGGCTTGGCTTTCATCTTTTAATTTAACTGCTGTACAATGCTCTTCGCAGCTATCTAATGACTGCACTATGCTTTTAAGTATTAATTTCCAGTTTTCTTTCTTTTAATCTTCCTCTTTCCAGAAACCCTTTTCTCTCGTGAAGCTAATGATAACTAAGTGCTTGCACCTTGGTTGGCTTTCCTGGGCCAGGTTTTCTCCCCTCTGGTAAGCATGGTCGGCTATCTGAGTGGTGGATCTCTTGACGATCTGTTTCAGCTCGGGCTCCAGCCGGTCCATTATGGCTTTGACTGTTTGCGGGAGTTTATTCAGTTTGGCTAAAGCCTGGAAACAAAGCAAATGCACAAGATATTCCTTAAAGTAGAAACAAAAAACCAAATGTAGACAAACAGGTAATTTTAGCTTGGGAAAGTATTTTTGTAAGAATTGTGTGTACCTTGATAAGGATGCCCATGAATTCAGCACTGTTTTCCTCTGGATCCACCTCTGAAAGGTCAGCTTGGCTCAGTTCTCGAATATCCTGCTGCAGCTCATGCACTAAAAAAAGAATAAGTGTGTATTAAATACTTATACAAAACTCATATTTTTAATACGAAAAATAGAAAACTATAAATTAGTGGTGATTGTATCGTCCTGTTTTAACAATCTAACCCACTGTTCAAAAACAAATTGATAGCTTTCAGTGTATTAATTTTCCTTTAAGCCCACACACCTGCACTCCCAACCCACCCCCAAGCTCTCGGCAGCTGACTTAGCCACATTAGCAGCTAAATTGAGAATGGCAGTATCGAGTGATGCTCTAATTTCCATTAGATGGGGCCTCCCAATTCCCCATCAAAGCACGTTAGGAGAGTTAATGTTTATGGCAAGTTAATGGACTTTGGGTGTATTTCCTCTTTTCACCCATTCCGACTGCAGTTTGTGTAATAATTATGACAATTACTATCTACAAATGAGGTGCTCTAATGCTATTAGATAAAATGGAAAGCCAGGGCTATGATGGAAGCCGGTCGCTGTGTCGTGACCACAGTTGTTAACACGACGGTATACAGGCACTCACTGCCTGAAGGTGGCTAATTGCCAGAGTTCTCTGTGTAATATAGGAAAACTGTCTGAGCTTTTACTTTAGGTACACAGACCGGGGGGACCGAGCAGAAACTTATCAGTGAACGCAATAAATACAGTGGAGGTACAGTAAGATTCAGTTGTGATGAAACAGGCTATGTGAAGCTACAATGGGGWTATATAGACACAGTAAGCACTATAAATATCTACATTGAATATTAGACAAAATACAGCAAAAGAATATTTATTGCTTCAAGGAAACTTTGCCAAAATCTAAGAGGTATGTATGTATGTACAGCCGTGTGGTATCCACAGAACTAAAACCAGCGAGTCGTTAACTCACAATGCCAAGAGTGGGTGGTGGAAAAAAAAAGTGCCCGGGCTTTATATAAAAACTCTGAAACACCTAGGGAATGCCAAGTTATTGCTGGATTAACTTTTTTCATTATCTTCTTGTTTGTGTTCTCCTGTGCTCTGCCTGGAAGAAAAGTAGCGCTGACTCTACGCCCCTACAACCGWGAGAGAATTCATACATTTCTGAACACAGTTAGGATCTGTTTTATCAGCCTCCGTTAAAAGTCCTGGTTACTAGTCGGAGCATAATAAATGCAGCGCCCCTGCTGCGAATGCGGAGACACTGGGTGACTAATGGATATACGTAGGGGGCACGATGATTATAATATAAGCGAGGGAGATATATATTATGATCATAGTTGAGGATGTTGTGACATATACAGCGAGAGAGGAAAAGTGGGCGTTTGTCTGTGCGCATGCTTTGTGTCTATGCGAAGCATGCAAGATGTGTTTAGTTCTTTATAGGAGTCTGGATCAGCAGTTTTTGTTTGGGATCACTTATTTCTGCAAGAAAACCAGGAAATACAAAAGCACAACAACATGCAAATGAATATAAATTAGAGTGATGCTAATGACATCAAATCACTGGGGTGAGAACGCTGAAAACACAAGCTAAAATCCAAAAGCAATGTTTGTCAAATGAATCTGACAATACTTGTTAATGTATAGCACCACACTTATCCTCATGGGAGCAGCTTTATAGGAGACGATGCTTATAAATCACACTTTCACATTAAAATCATTCATTTGGGGTCTATATAAAGTGGAACTGCAACACTAAGGTCTGAATTCCTCCTTATTGTAACTCCATAAGCCCCTCTTTTACTTCTTTTCTGAGGTGTGTCTCAGATCAACTCCTTTTGATGCTGTCTCATTAAAATAAATCAAACAAGTCCCTTCAAACCCTGCTAGTCGTAAACCCTTCTATCAAGCTAGAATGGACCGATCTGGAAGATGGAGGTGAGCAGGGTTTGAAGGGACTTGTTTGATTTATTTTAATGAGACAGCATCAAAACGAGTTGATCTGAGACACACCTCAGAAAAGAAGTAAAAGAGGGGCTTATGGAGTTACAATAAGGAGGAATTCAGACCTTAGTGTTGCAGTTCCACTTTATAAAGACCCCAAATGTTGTTGGTAAGTCCAAACCTTATTTAGAAGTCTGTTGCAAATAATAAGATGCAATAGTTCATCACAAAAACATCATAGAAAATAGAGAAAACTGAACAGGTTGAAAATTATGATCTAAAAAGAATATAAAGATATCTATGCAGCACCGGGAGAAACTAAACTCAAATTTTCTGCAACCCTAGAAAATCCAAAGACACAACAAAATGCATTTAATGGCTAAAAAGTGGATTTTGCATTGCATATCCCTTTTAATGGACACAATGATGTATAGTTTTTGTGAAACCTCAAAAAGCTAGAACTTTTCTCTTTCTTTGTGTTACATCTTTTATGCAATCAACATTTTTATCCCTCAGTACACCCTCCTCTTCTTTTGTTTAATATGCTTTAAAGAACTATTTTTTTTACCACTGCTGGCTGGTGTGCTAAACTGCGAGGAATCCAAAAGCTTGCGTGGAGTTGAAAGGCCGCTCACTTCTAACACAGGCAACGGAGACGTGTCTTTAGTTATGGACCTGAGAGGGGGRAAAAAATTAGTTAAAATTCAGTTAAGTTTTAACTCAAACTCTTTATCAGATATCAAGAAAAAGCAATCCTGGAGTAAAACCTCTTTACAAGCAGACAGGTTATACAAATGCAAACACAGGTATGAACTTGCAAAACAAAAGCACTAATCTACTGTTAAGAACAAAACCACCTTCTATCTGTTTTGTAAGAATGGTGCTGCTTTCCAATGAGCCATTTATCAAGCTCAAGGTGGAAGCAATCCAGGCCCTTTAAGTTAGGCGGCATAAACACAGTGTGCCTGCTAAGTGAGTGGGTTGCATGGAGGCTGGCATGTTGTTAAAGGCAAACGAATACAGGAAGGCCAGGACCTGTCAGGAGCTGACCCTTATTAATAAATCACTGTGCTTTACCAACCCACTGCCACCATAATTACAGCAGCGCCACGGACACACACGTAAAAAGAGCAAACAACAAGCTCAATGAATGCTTTCCAAAGAACACTAAAATAACAAATGTGTGTTCAAAGCGTGTGGGCTGCATTATCTCTAATATATTATACAATGAAGAAACAGGCACTCAGGTCACAGTTAAACTCATAGTAGCTGTCAAACATTTTGAGTTGTTTAAAACGCAGCTGGTGTTAAACAAAAGAGGAGAATGATGTTTTTCTGACAGTAAAAACAAAAAAAAAAATCATGCCTAAAGCATTGTCATACAAAACACAACTTTTGCAGTTTTTACAGCAAAAGTTATCAAATTATTAACTGCATCCCACCTAACTGGTTTAAATTAAGTTATGGCTGTTCCGTGTCCAACAATAATCTATATGACATGCTTTTCATTTGATTCCTTTGAAGCTTCACTGTATAAGCAGGAAAAGCAACATTTTCTAGAAGCTGTAATTATTATCCACAGTAATGTTCTGTTTCCTGCAGCAAATAAATGGTAAGTTTGACTAAGTTCAGTGGAATCAGTCAGGTTTAAGAAAAATTGATACAGTTTGAAACGTAACATATGTTTCACCCCTTGTGAGTTAAGCACAAAATTAAGTAGGGAATTCAATTATCCTGCAAAAATTGTAAATGCTTAATGCTGAAAGAGTTTGCTTGATAGCTAAAAAAAAGTTTAGATTAGCCTAAAGATAGTAAAAAAAAGAAAAAAGTAGCTGAAATAGCTGAAATTATCACAAAAAAGGTGAATTCACCGGTAAAAAACCTAAATTAGCTAAAAACATGGAAATTAACAGAAAGCAACTGAAAGAAGCACAAAAAGTTGAAATTAGCAGAAGAATGGCAGAAAAGGTCAAACGAACAAATAAAAAAAAGTTTAAAASAGCTAAAGTCAGCAAAATAGAAGTTGAAGAAAGCTGAAGTTAGTTCAAAGAAACAAAAAAAAAGCATAACCAGAACAAAAGGTAAAAAATACAGTAAAGATTTATGACCAATTTAAAGGGTTTTAGGGATGTTGAAAACAAATCCATTCATTTTCAATGAAAAAAAAATGTCTGAAAAGAGTAAAGGGTAAAGTATAGTTTGCTGAAGTACCAAAAGTCATAGCTGGAATGTCCCGAGTTGAACATTTTTGATATAGAAATTATCGAAATAGCACAAACATTGCAGAATGGGATACAGGCCAAAAAACATACAGAAGAAAAAACAGATTCGGCATTCACAAAACGATAAAATCATTTTTTGTAGTTTTTTTTTTTTTTGCAGGCTTGTTGCAGTTTAACTTGTGCTTAAATCAAAAGGGATGTTACAAAAGATAAAGAAACGTAATGAAATTGAGAAAATGTTTTTATTTAAAAAAAGCAATGACAGCTGAAGAAAAATCGTCATTCATTCTTTCATTCATTCATTCATTTATTTATTTATTTATTTAAAAGGAAAATGCACATAATTTAATATTTTGTGAATATAAATGTGCCGGAATTAGCACAACAGCTAAATTTCATCCATGGTCATGTCATGTTAGATATAAAAACAGAAGTCAGTTCTTACCCCGGAACACGAGCAGCATTTTTGTCCTTATTCTTGAGTCCAAGACGACTCGTGGATTTGATGTAAAGGTGTCGGTGCAGTTCATCAATGAGCACTACGGGCAGCAAGAGCTTCTTGTTTTTCAGCTCCAGGCGCAAGTCTCCAAGCCCTTCAACCTGCAGCAAGGGGCCTTCTAAAGACTCCACTGCTGACACCTGCACACAACAACAACATGCCAACCAAGACGCATGTTAACCTTTGTTAAACCTAGCATGTTCTTCCCAATTTCTGACTGCTCTGGTGTCCAATGACATCATATGTTGGGAAATGCTTTGGTTTGAGTGTTTGCAGGAAAGTTCAAATGTACGAGCCAATACAGAAACCTGAATCTGACCCTGCAACCATTCTAAAAAAATGTTTCTGGTGAGAAATATACTAAGATAGGTGTGTGTGTATGGGTTTTTCCTACAACATGGGGAATTTTTTCCCCCAAAAAAGCAACCTCGTGGGGACCGAAGTGAATCATGGGGACCAATGCCAGGTCCCCATGGGTCCAAATGCAAATTATGAGTGCGGGGTTAGGTTTAGGACCAAGGTTTAGGTTAGTTTTAGGGTCAGGTAAGTACCTGTGAGGTTAATTTCAGGGTAAATGGTCAGGGTTAGGATATAAAGTCCAAAAAAAATGAATGGAAGTCAATGGAAAGTCCCCACAGGGTTCAAGAAAAAAATGTGTGTGTGTGTGTGTGTGTGTGTGCGTGCGTGCGTGCGTGCGTGCRTGCGTGYGTGTGCTGGGAGAGGGGGCACTTTTAATATGGGGTCAATTACAACCCGCAAATTTCATTAGAAAATTAAATCAACTACCTAAACTGAAGCAGTCACACTGAGGTAAACGATTCTCTTTTAATAATGACACTTGTATAAAAGCTCTTTTCTGAAAGATTGTAAGATCATTATTTTAAGGTTAAAAAAAATAGAAAACAGCAACAGCTTCTAATTATTAAAATAAAAAAATAAAAAACATTTGGCATTGTGGAGCTCCCTGTTCAGATTGTAGGTTCCGATGACTCAGTGTCAGATAAGTGGCAGAAAACGAATAGCTTGTTGAATAAACATCACATTCCATTTAATGCATTAMTTTGACAAAATGGATGTTTTATATTCAGCCTTTTAATTTGCATGTGATGATGTTGAATATAAACTAACTATATTTCCTTCCATAAAAAATAATGTAGGCATCATAGACGGTGACATGCATCCTAATGCTTGCAATGTATCATGCTTTATGGCAACAAGTGTCTTAGTGTGGATCTGTGCCAACATGTAATTTTGTGTTTCAAGAACAAAATGGCAAGATAAAARCACTTTTTTTTGCAAAGTCAGTACAAGGCAGAAAGGAGTAGTTAGTAGAGAGAGGAGAGGAGGGGTGGTTGGGTATGGTAGGAAGGGGGCATAGGTCAAGTGAGTATTGATGCAAATGAGAGTCATATTAGTGAGTAGATGAGCTAACGTGCTTCATGATCAGACTCCTTCAGCTTAATGTAACAACCCCCCTCATGCCTGCTACACTTTGCATGCTCTGCGTGTGTCTGAGGTATGTCCATGTATAATTATGTGTGTGATTGTATTTCAGTAAATCACTCAATGTGTGTGTGTCAGGAGGGGATGACAGAAAAAAAAGGCTGGTTAACATCATTAGAGACCAGTCCTGTCAGCGTAATGAGGAAGGCAGAGTCTCGAGTGAATTTGTGAGAGGAGAGGAGAGGAGAGGCTTCTCGTCATGTATCTGTTATGTACACCTGGATTATGAGATACAAAAGGAAGGGCATTTAAAAAAGGTGCAAAAATTTTCTACAACGTAAGCCAGTCTTGTTTTTAACCAAACCCATGAGATCCAATGCTGCTATTCATTATAAGACAAAGATCCTAGCTTGAATTTTAATCGTAAAAACCCCTAGAGAAAGGCTTCACAAAATAACATGCACACAATGTTAAGGAGAGTACACCACAGAGGAGGCTAGAATTATATCTGGCTATTATGGCAAAACAATACAAATTGGTGACTAAAAATTACAGAAGCAAAATTCAAGTAGAAGAAAAGGTTATTTGTTTAAAAGCAAATTAGATCTATTTATGCCAGGAAAATAAAAAAACTACAACAAAAGACCTTGATGCAATTATAAAGTTATATTCTAAAAAAATGAAAGTGATAAAACTTAGCTTGTTTAAAAGAATAACAAATCTAAACACATCTCAGCAATCATAAAGATCTGCTTCAGAAGGTGCAAGCTGAAGGTTTCCAGAGTTTGTTTCACAGCAAACAAAGCACATGTTTAAAGAGTGCATTCTACATGGTAATATCCTCATAAAGTAGATTTGAAATTTATAAAACTGAGACAATGAACTCAGCTGACTTTGAACTTTCTCTAACCTTTGAAACACTTTACTGAATGAGYACAGGTTGAATGAAGTTCCTTTTACTCTCCACCCCCACAAAAAGAATTCTTTATGGTCTTTTCGTCTCACCGCCATGTCTGTCCTTTTTTTTTTTTCCTTCTCCTCCTCAGATAACCCCATTCTAGCAAACTAATTATTACCAGAGTCTGGAGGAAGACGTGTGGGAGTGACATTGGGYGAGAAAGAGGAAAAAGGAAAGAAGCAGACAGATAGAAGCAGAGGCTGGTCGTTTAGTCCTCAACGCCATCCTTCACCTACCCCTGCTAAGGATGCTGCAAGCCACACATCAAAAGAACAACAACACACACCTGCAGCTTCCTAACTGCACTTAGATTATGTGAATTGCGCCCTCTGGGCAATTCAAGGCGAGAAAAAAGTTCTTTAAAGCAATAAAAGAAGCAAAGAAATAATCTTTAACTTGTGTTTACGCATGTGAATATGTGCACACCATGATTTTTTATGGCAGCCCATCAGTGTCTGATGTGTCAGCAGGTTTTCCTGTCAAATATTTCCTTCTTTAATTCCCAACTGTAAAACTCCTCCTTGCAAGTTCCTCAATTTTTTTATTTTTTATTTTTTTTTGTTTGTTTTTTTTCTGTGTACTCACCAACATGTCGGTGACATGAAGATAGTGCTTGCTCGCCATGTAGGTTTCCAGGCTCTGAGGGACCTGCTTGATACTTTCAATTTCATCCAGCAGCTGGAGGACGTGCTTGTGTTCGATGCCCTCGATCCACAGCTTCCTCAGCTCGTCCCGTTTACAGTGCAGCAGCATTTTACAAGACAAGAGGTTCTCCTTCACCTGCAGAGCAGAATAACACCAAGAATAGATAACACTGCTCTATGATGCATACATTTTTAAACCTTGTGGTGTATAGGAGTGAACTTTAATAGCACCCAAAACCAAGTAAAACAGTACGAAACACTTGCACACAAATTAGTTGTTTGTGTTTTAAGAACATTTTTTCTGTGATTAAGAATGTTAAAGAAAAACAACAAAATTATTTAAAAAAGTAAAATCCCTTATACTTGTAGACAGAACAGTCAGCACAACTTGGCTGGATTTTAACTTAACTATGGCAGAAAAGAAACACAATGACGTAAAAAAAAAACTTTCTGCAGAATGTAGAAATAAAATATTGCTTATGCTTAATCTGGGGATGTTGTCATTTCATCAGCARCTGCTGTCATTTTCTTCCCAAACCGCTGTGACCAGATTTTGCAAGGCTGCTCTGTGCATTTGCTTATAATTTCCTCCTGCTTCGTTATTTCTACGAGTTTCAACAAAGCGTGCCGACGCCGGGTAGTTAGCTACAGCCTCGTCTTCGAGTTTTTATTTTTTGTTGATGTGTTTTGAAGAGACAATTTTTTGAAAAGAGGATCAAAGTAAATCACCTGAGTTTTTCTAGTGACCCCTTAAAGAGATAAGCTGCCATGAAGAACATTATTTTATCTGCCCTTGTTCCAAATTTGATAATGATTTGAAACGTTGAAGTATGTTTTTTWAAATCCGGAACAGCGCTTGTTGCAAAGTGTGTTGGCACTCGTCTTTGTCACTTGACACATTTAACACGCTGTCATTGGTTGAGGAGCTTTGTTTACAAAACAGATATCCACATGGTTTTTAAATTGTTTTTATTTTCTTACTTTCTAAGACACATTAAGTTGATTTGATGCTGCAGTTTGCCTTGTAATGTTATTTTATACCTTTTCTGCTACTTTTGAATTGGCTGTTATTAAGTTTTATTAGGTTTTTTAAGGAYACAAGATGCTTCAGTTGTGGCTCCTAAACTGTGGAACCAGCTGCTCCTTCACATCAGACAGGCCTCAACTCTTGGGAATTTTTAAATCTCTTCTTAAAACACACCTGTTTTCAAAAGCTTTTAATGTAGTTTGAGAGTTGTTTCCCTGTTTATTAGGTCTGTTTTTATAGTTTTATCATTTTTGTTCTTTTAGCAATGCTTTGTTTTTAGTTTGCAATATGTGAAGCACTTTGGCCAACGGCAGTTGTTTTTAAATGTGCTATATAAATAAAGTTGATTTGATTTGATTCCTACAAAAAAAACAGAATGTGAATCATTTCTTAAAATTTCATGGCGATATCTTGAACACTGAGGAAGTTATGAGCAAAATTAGAAAACAGCAAGGTGAAATGGTCACAAAGACCCCATTGGTTCTGCTGTGAACTGCAGCAAGAAAACATGAGCTGATTTCACCTAAACAAACATCAATAACTTCCCTCATACTTCAGATAATCACATGATTTTGGTGTTATTTTGTATGATTTGAAATGTTCTTTTGGAACCCGCTGTCAGATTTAATATTGGTGTAGGATTAATAATTTATCAACATCCCTACTTAATCACAAACTCCATCATTATTGCTCTGAAATCCACAATAATCAACAATAAATTTCGCTGGGTTATTTTACGTTTATATATTTTTTCTGACTAATTTAGGCTTGTATTTATTTTCAGAGATGTCTCCCCTTCATACCTGTTTGATCTTGTTGCGGGAGCTGGTGATGCGCTCTGTGATGCTCTGGTAGGTTCGGATGGCGGTGGTAAGTTCAGCATAATGCTGAACAATCAGTTTATCTAAATCCCTATCGCACGTCTCGAAGGCGTCTTCGAGGCGACCCTTCTCTGTCTCTCTGTCCTGCACGTCATCACTGCTSGACAGAGTCCTGCAACAGGAAAGACAAAATGAATGATAAATAATAAAAACAGTATTGACAGCACTGTAGAAAACGATGCAGAATTGAATGCATTTATGTTTTGATGTGAAAGACAATACATGAAAAATTGGTATTTAAATATTTGTCTTGAGTGTTGCAAACTCGTTTCACAAAAGCAATTGCATTGCTACTAATAAACATAGTTCATGCAGAATTTAGGCACTGTTGAACCAGCTACTAAAAAATACACTCGTTATGAATGAAGATTAATCTCAAGTTTTATTTTCTTTGATAAATAGATAGGACTTAAAATGTACTGTTATTTAACATTATTCGTACAGCAACCGAGAATAAGCTATCAAATGAGCGTGTATTTCTTTCATATATTAATTTACAACACAGGAAGGATGTAGTTACCTCCCATAGCTAAACATGCTAACTGTCTAGCCTGAGAGTCACTGCAAGCACAATAAAAGGCTGCCTGTCGTCTTAACTGCGCTGCTAGCCTCGCATAAAGAATGTAAATTATTCTTACCTAATGACAGAGATGAGAAGGCCAGAGGGGTCCTTGTTTTTGCTAACAGCACTCCTGTATTTGCCTGAATCAGCTGCCATTTTTCCAGCTGCGGGATTCAAACAGGAAGAGAGAGAGTAAGAGATGCGCGAGGCTGCACGGTGGAACTCTGGGAGTTGTAGTTCTTAACGCGGAAATGCYATTCTGTGCCGAAGCAGAGTTTCACTGAGCTTCATTTGATGCCACTAATGTCAAACATAACGTGTTACTTGACCACAATAATATAGTGTGGTTGCTGTAAGCACATTACTAATCAAGAATCAAAATAATATTACATAAACTATATTAGACTGATAATGTAAATGTATAAATAAATGTATAAATGTAAATGTATGTGTAAAATGTAAGCCTTTTGCCATTTTTGTCCTACCCAATCATTACTTTTGATTAATATYGTATTTTTTTATCTTTAACTTGCACAAAGAACAGCACACCTTATTTGTTTATTAAATGAAGCTGCATGCAGAACGTTTGGATGAAGAAAAGCAAACGTGCACATTTTAAAAACAGAAAAATAAACTAAATGATAATTATCTTATATTCTACTTTAGTGCTGCAGCATTTCCGGTGAAGTCAAACAACCTTGGACTTTTATATTAAACAATATTATCTGATTTATTTTCAGTTGCCTAAAATACAAAGCATAAAAAAACAGCTTCTTTTGAACATATTCAGCCCAGTCCTCCTGAGACTGACAAGGTTGGGCAAAGGAGAACAGAGTCAAGCAGTGTAGGTCAGTGAGTTAATAGCTAACCCCATTTAGAACTTATATTGTGAGATTTTGCTGGGCTCCCCTGTGTTGTATCTCTGACCATATCTGCTTTACCATGGAGAACGGGAGAGAACATTGATTCTAGAGCAAAAGAGGTCGATCTCCAGCAGCCTTAGTCCTGATTGATGTGCCGGTGGAGTGACGAGATAACATTGCGGGTGATCTTTGTTTTTGAACCACCTCCCCAATAAGCAATTGCTGTGTCATACGATATAGCCTGTGCTTTATCTTCGTTTGAAAGACTCTCACATCCCAGGTCCAAGTTTAATTTCAAAGCTCTTATCACCTAACCCCCAAAACCATGTCTCATCACTTCAAATAATTTACTTTTTTTTCCCTTTTATCTTTTCAATAATGCAGGTCTGTCTCAGTCGACACCACTCTGGCCTTCTCACCTGATTAATACAAAGGTAATGTGATCTTTGGCAGACATACTTATGGGATCTACATAAAAATAAAAGAAAATGCTGCGGCAGCTACATTAGTGTCCATCTAATATTCAAGCGAAAGATTATGCTGTGGGGTGTAATTCCTCTGGTATAATGGACTCTCTTATGGTAGCGTAAAGTGTTCAAGCATTTATTTTGTGTTTCTTGAACAACCATGTTAAAACAAAAACCTTAAAGCAGGTTATTTTCTTGATTTTTTTTTTCAAACATGCCTGAAAAATAAAATAGGACAAAAGGATTTTCCTTCTCAGTAGCGTACTTTGTTAAAGTATGTAATGGATTGCATCTGGGAGAGACTTTCTAGATTATTTCCGCTGAGCTGAATCAAATACAAAATGAGTCTCATATCATCTACTTCTATCCTTAAGGGGTACAATTATGACCTCTGCAGAAATGACACAGACAAATGTAACCATTTTTATTCAGAGCCACCTTGTTGGTCTACATCGTGAAACAAAACCTGATTTCAGTTCTTGGAAAGCGTTCTTTTAGTACTCACTGAGCAGGATATTTAATACTAAGTATTAACTAAGTAATAAGTGAGTTATTGAAATACAAACTAAAATATTATTTTATCTGAGCAAGTTTTCCAGACATTTTTATGAATATTAGCTATTTTCTGGGTCACTCAAGTAAATTCTATGGCAACAATATTAAAAGAAAAAATGTAGTAATGGCAGACAGATAGAAAGAACTGTCTAAAAATGCTGTAACGTAATTTTAAATTAAACAAATGTGCCTTTTTGTTAACAGAAGACAACTACAAAATGACACAAAAGGGTAAGTCCCTGTTTGTTGCACTGATTATGTAAAAACAGCATTACACGCCAAACACCACAGCTGAGCTGCTTGGCTAAAATAATGCAGACTTTTTTTCTCTCCACACTGTGCCATTCAGCCTTGCTGCTTTCCATAAGCACCATATTCAATGCAGCCCGAGGCATTTCAGAGCACGCCCCAAGGACATTACTGCACATTATAATTCTTTATTGCATCATCATTTCGTTGCAGAATTCCTGCAGCAATGAGTGAGTACTCTATGGGGATTGGAAATGTGACAAAAGAAGAACTATTACAATTTCTTTCATTACAGAAAATCCCAGCAGATGCAAAACAATGATTCTTTACAGTAGTGTGTAATATATATAAATGAGTGACAGGTTAAAGGAAAAAAAATAAAATAAAAACGAGCCCTTGAGAATAGCTTCAAATAAAAGTTTTTGGTCAATGAATATATTGTGTGAAATGATTTATATCAGCCTTCAGTTTTCATGGAATTTCCCAATAATAACCAGAATCAACTGCATTGAATTTTTAAAGGGGTTTTTATTGATTCATTTTCTTTTACATCATATCAAACAGATTGCAGAAAACAAAACTACAATAATAGGCAGAAAGGAGTATTATTACAATTGTGCTGGGGTATAATATATCAAGTTTACAGGCTTATTCTTATGAACTGTCATTTTTTTTCTGCTCAAGGCAAATCAAACTTCCTGCTTGGATTTTAAGCTTTGAGAGGCTCTGTGGGTTTGCTCCAGATAATGTATAAAGTATGTAGAAAATGAGGCAGTGTGGCAAACTGGGAATCCCTCGGCGGAATTGGAGTTGATTAGTTTTCAACGTGAATGTAAAAGAATGAACCTTTTTAATGCAATAGTTTTACTGATTATATTGTGTAGCTTTTGGCAAATGTTTTAACATATTTGTATTTGAAATTGTTTGATTTTAGATATTTTCTGAATCATTGTTTCTTGTGTTTTAATCATTGTGGTCTTGTTTGTTGTGTAAAGCATGCTTCTATTACATCAATTATATCTTATGAGCATGCTTTCAAGTTTTTCCTCTTGCTCAAAGAGAAAAAAACTAATTCAATAACAAGTCCTCTTTTTAATTATTGTCCCCCCAAAACAACATTTATCTAGAGAATTGATTTCTTCCTTGAAGAAAAAAACGTGCTCTCACAAAAATAAATTAATTTGAATTGTATTTGTATTGACCTCAGTTGTGAATTTCATCAGTTTTTTTTTGTTGTTGTTCTGCAGACCTCACAGTGTAAATAACTAATTTTTTGTGGCAGCAGTTATTAGTGAACTCCAGCTTGAATAGTGTAAATCCCATATCTTATATTAAATTGTACTACAGTCCAACTCTCATAAAAGATAACTAGTTTAAAGCAAGTAATAATCAGTTTAGCTGCAATCTGATTCATGACCATTTTACTGACATGAATATCAATTTATTATACACCTGAAAAAAATAGGTAATTTTAGATATTTTTCTGCTAACGTGTTTTTTCTTAATTATATTATTGATATCAGATGAAAAAATAATGAAAATATTATTAGTAACAGAGTAATAACAAGCACAAGCTAAAATAGTGAACAAGAAAAGTTTACATCCACAATATCAGCAAGTGTAAGAGCATTACATTTACCAAATAAAATAAATACATAAATAGACTCCTGATCTATTTGTTTGTGTTTGTGTTTTTTTTTATTTTTCTGTAAGTATAAGCAAATAGCCTATAAGAAAATTGTTCAAATACCTGCGTTGAATTGAAAACATACACAACTGTATATCAGAAATAAATTATTTTATCATTTACATTAGAAATTATGATGTATATTAATTATAGTTCGTATGGCAGAATGACAAAATATTAATTTGAACCTATAACGCAGCTGTAAAGTTGAAAATAACTCTCAGTGACCACAAACATCATTGAAAAGTCAAAGGGAACCTGCTGCATGTCACATTCTCACCCCGCCCACCTGCTAAGAACAACCAATGAACGTTGCCGACATACAGACCGGCGAGTCTTCTGTCCTATCAGCTCGCGCGTCCTTCACGAACGTCATGCTAAGGAAGTACAGCAAGCACAGTCCTGAAACTGTGGAGTTTGGGCCCCAATTTTATCTGGCGAGCCAAACAAAAGCAAAAGTGGATGTCTAAATTTCATATTACATGTGACAGAGATAACGGACACTCGTAATAACCTCTGCGGTTCGACAGTCATGGGAGCAAACAACAGCACCCGGCGAGTGTCATTTGAGTCTGATGAGAACGATAATATAGTAGAGGTGAAGGGCATACGGGTAAGTTACACGGTACAAACTTGTCTGAAACAGGTTTTATGAATGAAATACGAATAATGCTGTAATAATGTGCCAAAAAAAAAAATGCCGCGGGCTTATCCAAAGGCTAGGTAAAGCGCTTAGAGACTTGGCACATGGATTGGAAACCTGTGAAAGCTAAAGCATGATTTAAGTTAGGGTAAAAGTTGAATCCAGTGTTTATATGCGCAGTAAACTTAATGTTGTAGAAGGTTGTGTAACGGTAGTTTAATTTTAACAATATTACATAGCTCCGTGATACACTGTTTCTTTGTCTATTGTGCTATTTAATGTAGATAGGTGCTATTTGGAAGCTTAGTAATTCACCTGTGTCACTTTCAGCTGCTGTTAAATATAGATGGAGAGGCTTTAGCCAATCAGATAAGACTTCAATAAGCATGTCTGTCTATTATTACTCACTTGGTAAGTCAGTACAAAACGACTGCTGTTTTGTCCTGTTTATCTCTGCACTGTTGCATATTTCTTCTGTAAATAGAAACTGTTTCCCTATAAACACTATTTACCATAGAAAAATATGCAGTATTTATGTATGTAGAAATCTATCAGAAGAGGAATAAAAAGCTTCCTTAGTTTATAGTCAGGATAGTAGTAAAACTCATTTTCCTAAATAAAAGTTGGGATACTGTATAAAATGAAATGAATAAACAAATTAAACATCTCTCAGTTTTTTGGGTTGATTGCCAATGGGTTACTGTAAGAAACAAACACAGAATGCATGGTTTTTTTTAGATGTGAAGGTGACAAATGATTCAGTTGCCTGCRCCAACATATTTTTGCCAATTCTTTAATTTAGGAATAATGGCGTAACCTTTGAGGTTTTCTCAATCACTGTATTAAAGCAACAGAYCCAGAGATAAAGAAGAATGACCTGGATTTGTCAGCCTTTTAAATGGAATCTCTGCCTGGGCTCAGGGACACCTATTCAACAGCTGAAATAGCTTATCTCCAAATATTAAAAACCAGTTTGCTTTCAAATCTACAGCAGGTCCCAAGCATTTGTRGAGAGCAGTGAGCTTACCTAAGCTGTCATACATAAGCTGGACTTGTGAAATGTTGCAGAGATGTTTTAGAGAGGTGACATGCTGGGAATACGTTCAGATATATTTTGTATTAATATTTAGAAAAAAACAGACTAATTGTTTGCGTCCTTGGTCTTTATTTTGTACTTTTTTACCATTCACAGCTTTCCGAAAATGTCATCAAAAGGATGAAAGAACCTGCTGCKCCTTCCAAACCAAAACAGCATGCTCCCACTTCTGCATCGTCTGTGGCACCCAACCTCGCTCCATCTCCCTTCCTGCAGCCCATGCCTCAAGCCTCGTCCGCTCCACCTGCCCTTGTTGAACCCGTTCCAGCTCCTGCTGCCACAGAGACTGTGGCTGCACCTCCTCCTCGACCTCCCACAGACCAGGTAGTGGCACCTACTAAAGATGATTTGGTGCATGCACCTTTATCATCTTCAGCTTCTGCTAATGCTGYCGCTGATCCCGCTTTTAAATCTGTAGCAGCACCTCCTCCTCTTGTTTCTGTTGCCTTGGTAAGTTCGCCAACGTCTCCCTCTCCTGCTCCCACTGAACCGCTTACTTCTGTTTCCTGCCATGCTCCAGCTGCTGTGGAAGCTATCACTTCACTTGCTTCCCCCCCTGCGGTTGAAYCCTCTCCTCCTCTCAAAAGTCAACCCATTTCTTCTTCTCCTCCRTTAATCAAACCCATTGCACCTCCTGCTTCTCCGTGTGTTCCTGAACCCGTAACCTCTCCCCCTCTTCCCAAATCAGAATCCCCGTCTTCCCATCTTGTTTTCAAGCCTGCCACCATCTTGCCAGCATCSGTGCTTCCTTCAGGGGACTCTTTGTCCCCGCAGCCTGCTGAGCCTTTAGTTGCACCCCTCCTGCCAGTGTTAACTGCTACTAGTGAACCCATTTCACCTCCTCAGCCCGCAGTGCATCCATTTTCACCTGCTCCAGTCCCCGAGCCAGCGGTAAGGCCTGAGTCAAGTCCAGTTCCACCACCTGCTGCAGCACCGGCAGGTGAGTTTTATTCTGTGTGGCCTAACATCTGTGTGTGTGTGTGTGTGTGTGTGTGTGTGTGTGTGTGT